TTTGAATTATGATTTAAACAAATGAAGTTCTCACAGTTCCTGATGTAAACATATCAGTGCCTCAGTCATTTGCTTAATTCCCAGATTTGCTTTCAACGCTGACCTATTATCAGTCAGCCGTTTAATTATTCCTGTCTCGGAAGAGAAGTCATGAAAGGAATCTAGACGGTGAATAAATCGTCTGATTAATGTAGACTTGACATATTAATTTCAGACAGACATCTCCCATAGGTATTCTACTATTCAAACAGCTTTAATTGCACAGACCACTTACTCTTATGTCCGAGCAGGAAAGTGAGCACAGGAATTGCGGTTATGGGGAGTAGTTCATAGCTGGATATTGTCCAGGCATTGCTGCTGCTTCTGAGCTGATGTCAGACTGAGGGTTCTAGACGCTGGAATGTAAACAAAGATGGCCGAAAAGCTTAGGCTAGCACTTTTTTTCCATTGCATCACACTTCTCTCTCTCTCATGCTTTTTGTTAATCAATTTGAAATGTCTCTTGGTCTTTAAGGAAATTTCCACAATGAATTAGGGTTTTTCTTTTTCAGTACATGTGGTTCTAAATGTAGAAAAATGTGTACATTTTATTTATGAATCATGATCTCTATGTGAAACTGTTCACCCATGCAGATTTTATTTACAAATGTTTTTGTACGTATGGTTGGTGGACAAATCTGGGATCAGAAGTCAAGTGTTTGACCACTTTCTAGTTGATGGGGATGAACAGGCCATGTAGGTAATGATAAATTACTGGAGCTGTCACAATACCAAATGTAATTGATTCAGAGCAGATAGTTTCATCCCTTTTGCTCTCTTTAATATTTCTGTCTGAGCAGGCGTCTCAAATTTAAGTTAATTGTGTCATCTGTGTAGTTCATTCTATGCAACTTCTTTCTATTTCTGTGACTTCAGACATTATAGTTCCTTTTAATGATAACTCTTGGGTTCAATAAAAAGCTTGTGGATATACAATGTGTATTAAACAGTTTAACTTAGGTAATAGTTGATACATGTTGCTTCTATCATTGAGATCTTTCAGGCATTCAGATTTTTAATGTTCATTATTAAATCAACATAAAACAAACAGTTAATATGATACAGGAAACGATAATGATTGAATCATGATAAAATGCTTCATTGTGATGTATTAAACAAAGTTAAATTTAGGTAGTGGTTGATTTAGGTTTTTTTTCTCAGTGTTTTTATACCATCTATTGAGTGTATTCGAAACTTTGAACTGACTTTCAGCCCACAGAGATTTCAGTATGGGTTAAATTAAAAACATATTTGAATAATTTAGCCAGAATTCAGAGTTTCAGGTTTCTGAAATCAATTTCTCGTTCCCTGCAGGTGTTTCTGCTTAGGCGTGGTTTAGCTAGGGACGTTATGACCCTCTAGTTTCTCTCAGTAATACAGAAACCACAGTCTCCTTTGCCCTCAATGCAACCTCTTCACTCAAATGAAGTAAGATTGAGGCGTCTGAGAACAGGCATTTTCATGAGATCGATACTGTTCTTTTGTGCTTTCATTGTCACCCTCCCCCACTCGGGCCTCACTTATTTCCGGCCTATCCTCCCCATTGTCGTTTTGCCTGCCTCTTGAGGTGATTGGCAGGTGTGAAATGTTGCTGCATTGTTTCGAGGCCAACAGCTCACGTGTCATCGAAATACAATGTCAGACCTTCTCAATGTCAATCCAAGGTATCCGATTCAGTGAATCGCTCACTTCTGAATACCTTTTGAGAAATAAAACTGACCCACAAAACATTTCACACCTTTAAAACATCTTTGTTACTTTTAACGTGATTGTAAGGTGCATTCAAATAAGGACGCAAATGCTCGTTTCGGTTAGGTTCTTCATTATGTTGGATGTTTATCTTTGCATAGCTCTGATGTTACTTCGAAAACGAAGAATGAAGAAAACTTCATTACTTCGATTTTACCACCAAGTTTGATGTAACATTTAGAGCCTAAAAATTCCTATCCAACCGACTCTTTTATGGTACATTCCTCCACCCTGTATTTGAGGTACAGTCAGATGTCTCTGCTTCCACCCGCTTAAAACAGATAAACAGATGTGTTTCCATGGTATGAGGGTGGGGGCTTAGGGTGTATCAGCAGAATCTGGGGCAAAAGGATCTATAGTTCTATCCATTGGTGAGTGCTGAAGTCCCCTACAGGGGGAGATCTCAGAGCAAGAGTTAAAATCTTAATGATTGGTTCCTGTTTACCTGCTGATTTACCTTCTTTTTAAGGACGCTTGCAAAAAAAACAAAAAATTGTGACTCAAATCTACTATTGTGGCCAAACTCGCAATTACAAGATGGAAACTGGAATCTTAGATGTCCCCAATTGACTGTGACATCATATAAAAAACAAAATGGCAATGGCTTCAACAATGAATCTCACATTTTACGTTTGATGTCACTTCATAATAGCCATGCACTTTATGATGTGCGTTCTTTGTTTCAATACTTTGCTAAAGGAAAAATCATACATTTTGTCCCATACACATTTAATGTCCTCAGACATAACAGAATATAGCTGTGAATTCATATTTGTAATTATTATTTGTGACAAGACATGAATGTCGCATAAAGTACTCTAATAGTATTTTCTCCATTGCTATACTGATTCACAAATTAACGACTCTTGTGAGCCTATTTTTTTTTTTTTTTTAAAGAATCAATATGAAAGACACATTGTTGGTTTAAATTGGACTGGCTCATTCACTCTATGAATCACATTTTGTGATAATCATGTCATGATGAATCATTTTATTTTGTCAAAACTTGAAATGAATCAAGAGCAGTTACAGTTTTGTGAGTTCTTAAGGCTTTTTTGAGTCTTTTGAGACAAAACTGTTAAATTTCTTAGGATTCCTTAGTTATAGTTCACCCAAAATCGAAAATTCTGTCATTTATTACTCACCCTCATGTCGATCCAAACCCGTAAGACTTTCGTTCATCTTTGGAACACAAATGAAGATCTTTTTGATGATCTGAGAGCTGTCTGTCCCTCCATTGACAGCCTAAGTAACTACCACTTTGACATTTCAAAAAGTTCATAAAGAGATCGTAAAACTAATCCATATGAATTGAGCTGTTTAATCTTCATTTTCTGCAGAGATACGATCGCTTTGTGATGAACAGATTGAATTTATGCTTTTTTTCACAAACATTTGTCGACTCACACATCAGTTGTTCGATTGAGCAAGCTCAAGCATGTTCGATTGAGAACCAATGAGGTTCATTCTCATGTTACGCAGCACATTTGAGCTTCTGCAAGAACCAATGAGGTTTATTCTTGCGCGCCAAGCAGGTTCGGTTGAACTTCTGTTTATGTTCGCTGATCAATGTTTATATGTGAATAAAAGCCTAAATTTAAATCTGTTCATCAAATAAAGCGATCGAGTCTCTTAAATTTACTAAACTAAATGAGTTTTACGATCTCTTTATGAACTTTTTGAAGCATCAAAGTGGTTGATGCTTAGGCTGTCAATGGAGGGACAAAAAGCTCTCAGATTTCATCAAAAAGATCTTCATTTGTGTTCCGAAGATGAATGAAAGTCTTACGGGTTTGGAACAACATGATTTTTGGGTCAACTTTCCCTGCTTTAAGCATTACATTGAGGTATTCTTATAAAGACCTAGAATGGTATGGAGTGCTGGGCGGCTGGTTTTGAACAGACTGGCAGGTAAAAGGGACACAGATAGTAAAATTATGGGTAAGAAAAAAATAAGGGTGCGTTCTGAGTACCCAACTGAAAATAGAGAAGAGGCAAGCCATTTGAGAGATTTATTGTGTGGCACTCCTCAAAAACGCGCATATCCTGTAATTAACCCTCTGCTGGCCCCCAGCATTACCTTTACACTCAAATCATTGTTTAAAAGTGTAGTATGCTGTATTGTTATAACTTGACCTCTCTACATCACCTCATCACGTTGCAGATTTCATTCAGCCAGTGCTGTCCTGTTATCGTCTTTTGCATTGTAGACATTATTATTATTATGAAAAATGATAATAAATAATACAAAAAATATGTAGATCACCTTTCATACATAAAATGCCACTTAAAGTGCTTCACAGGTGACATGCATATAACAAGATTAACAAACAACAAGACCAAAAATAAAATCATAAGAAAATGTAATTGATCAAATACTGAATCGAAAACTAGTCATCATGGCACAGGTATTACTTGTGGCTCATTCACTGCAGTGGAAAAGTAAGGTCTTGCGTATTGCATTGTTGTGTATACTGTTCTGCACAATGTGCTTTGTTTACTGCTCATTTTGGAAAGTATAGTTGGTCATAGTATGGTAGCATGCTGTTCCAAACATGGCCATAGTAACAGCTGTAACGGATAGATGTCCTTTTATTTTTTTGTGTAGTGTTTGTTAGAAGCAATGGTGCATTTGATGTTAATGAATATGTTTCAAGCACGTAATGGGGGTTATGCACAACAAACTTTCATATTCTGTAAAACCGGTCGCATGGCTTGCGTTGCGGTTCAGGGCTTTGTGCTTTGAAGTTATCTTGAGTAAAATGGCTCAATATTTAACAAAGTTGGAAGATGAGCATAACCGATGTCCATTGCATGCATGATATCTACGTTTTTTAGTTTTCTTCTTACTAACATTTAGATATTTAAATAGAATAAAACGGCAGCAATAAAAAGAACAAGCTAGGTTAACTGATTACCTTAAGTCCATAGATATCGGCATCAGTTCACACCGCAGTCAACTCTTTCCTCGGTAAAGCGGATGCAGTGAGACGCTGAGACCCGTTTTCCTGTTTGTTCATGTGACGTCCGGCATAAAGCCTATTGCTAGCTAACCATGCTGTTTAGCCATGACTTCAAAATATAGCATGGCCTCTTGTGCTTTACTGCTTAAATAATGCAATTCCTGATCAGGAAGTCAAGAGTGATGAGAACACATTTTCATGCACTGTGCTTTTAACTTTTTTTTTTTTTGTCCGTTTTTCCTTATTCAGCTCTATGAACTGGACAGTGACCCAAAGAGGAAGGAGTTCCTGGACGATCTGTTCAGTTTTATGCAGAAGAGAGGTATGTGTAAAGAAAATCACCCTTTTCCTGCTCAGAAACATCTCCATATGACATCTTATAGAGTCCTTTATCACTCAGACCTGTCCAAAGTCTGCCCCTTGTGCACTGAGATCAACACCCAGCTCATCTTTCACATCTCCACTGTGATGTTTATGTCTATTTTATATCAAAGCACTGCAGTTTGTATCATGCTGAACTTGGGCTGTGGCTCCCACATTCATATGTGTGATTATAAACGTGGGAGTGCTAACACATGTCCATGTCATGATCGGCCTTGGAACTGTTGAAGCATGTGTTCCCATATACATTTACATAAACCCGCTCCACTGGCTTTGGAAAATGTTCTCCAACAGCTGTTAAACCCTCTCCTGATTAATAAATTAATGACCTGTGAGAGAATTTTATCAGCCATGTTTATCAGCCATAGCACAAATGCGTGTGTACGACAACCTGCTGCCTAGGAAAAACGCTGACATTTTCCCAAATAAAGACTCATATGGGAGTTTCTTTCCTTTTATAGTGTATATTTTCAAACTGCTATGGCGCTCAACACAGCTGTTTGTTTTTGTGCAGGGACCCCAGTGAACAGGATTCCCATCATGGCCAAGCAGGTGCTGGACCTCTACATGCTGTACCAACTGGTGACGGAGAAGGGGGGGCTGGTGGAGGTCATAAATAAAAAGTTGTGGAGGGAGATCACGAAGGGCCTGAACTTGCCGACCTCTATCACTAGCGCTGCCTTCACTCTCAGAACACAGTACGTACTCGCTGACACCTCCACTGCAGGAGAAATGATGTTTACTTACACGTGTACAGGCCTGGCATTTATATGGTCATTATTTAAAGCAGGGATGGGCAACTTCGGTCCTGGAGGGCCACTGTCCTACAGAGTTTAGCTCCAACCCTGAAAATATCACCTGCCTGTAACTTTCTAGTAATCCTGAAGACCTTGATTAGCTTGTTCAGGTGTGTTTGATTAGGGTTGAGGCTAAACTCTGTAGGACAGCGGCCCTCCAGGACCGAAGTTGCCCATCCCTGATTTAAAGGTACACTTTGTAACTTTTTTTGTTCAAAAGTAACTAAATTTAAATGTCAAAACTTCAATCCTTCTTCCAAAACGTGTTCTTTTCTTACCCTGATTCACTGATTATATTTTAAACCTGTCTGGATTGTTTCGTGGGAAATTGCATACTCTACATGCGTCACTCGCCCGTTCGTGTCTTGTCATATATGTAAAAAGAGAAAAGTGGCTCACTTTGACACGTGTATGGAGTGGTAGTGGCATAGGTTAGTTGTCTGCTGGCAAGAAGAGAACGCAACAGAGCTCGTAATAAAACCAGAATAAACATTGGCTTGGCTTTTCGGAGATGGCGAGAACTGCGGGATTTGAAATGTTGTAAAAGCAATGCAGAGATGCCATTTTATTACTTTATTACTATTTATAACTCGTGAGTAAGGTATTTTAATGAACAGATAAAATACGCTGTGCGCTGTGCTGGAATTTATTTTCAAGGAAGTATTGTGTCTATTAATGGTTATAGCTATTGTAACTTCTTCAGCTAGTCAGTCTGATACCCGAAGCACAACAAATTCTACTGTACAAATTATTGCTGTGGTCTGACTTTAATTTTTAAAGCTACACTATTACCTCCCATTCCCGTCGTGTTGTTGGTCACAATAACCCAGCCCCCCGACGTAAGCATGACGTGGTAAAAGAACGGTTCTAGTCCAGCAAAGAGTTGGTGCCGCTTTGGAACCAATTTTCCTGGCCGAGAATCTGTTCTTTGTCTGTCGAAACACAAAGAACTGGTTTGCGAGTAGGCACCGGCTCCGAACCGGCTCTCAAAATGCTTTGGTGGAAAAGGGGTATATGTAACTTTTGGCCCTCTAGCGGTTCAAAACAAAACTGAAGGCATTTTGCAGAACAACATTGTTTTGGTTGTGCTTCAGCATTACTGTGCGGATGAATATGACCCTTCACAATAGATAATGCTTAACAGTTTGAGAGCTACATATGGCAATTCATCTGTTAAATAAAATACCTTGCTCACCTGTTGAGTAATAAAAACACCATTACTGTGTCGCTTTTACAACATTTCAAATCCCCCCTCAGTTACTGTTGCTACGTCCGACAAACAAACTTCATCTGGGCTCTGGTATCAACATGGCTTATGCTGTGACAGGTCTTCCTGCTGAAATTTTATCAAACTTTTATAAAGCAGCAAATAAAGTGTCCGATTGAAGTAGGCAAAAGGGGCTGCAATATACGTTCAAAGGCTATATTCACGACATACAGGTGAAACGCAAGGAACAACAAGGCATCCAAATAGAGGCAAACGCATACCGGTCACAGTCAAAAAATGAACCACCGCATATCCTACTAATCGAGACGGAGGCTGGGACTAACAATATCAAGGAGCAACACTGTTCATGCAAAGTACTATGCGAGTATAACGTTGTATTTATTAGCAGCATGTGCTAGACGACACTTACTCGGAAACGTGCGCACTGTTGACGTTGACCGCAGCGCGGATTGATAGAAATGGATAGAAAATAGTGCCGATTAAAACTGAGGTATGAATTTTGACCGGCGTGTGTTTTTGTGTGGTAAATTAATCAAGCTTTGAAACGCAAATCATTTTTTCACGTAAAAACGCACAGTTTTGTGGCCCCGGAAAATAACCGGGAGTACTTTATTGAAAAACTTCCAGCGGCCAGAACTCTGACCAGGGAGGTGACAACAGAGTGGGTCAGTGTGTATGCACTATAGTGCTGGTAAGGATTGCATACAACTTCATGTCTTAAATGGGCGAACTAACCCTTTAAAGTCAATGGAGCGCTGTGAAAAAGCGTCGGACCTCTGTGGGAGCTCGTTCTTGGCTGCGCTGTGATTGGTCAATCTACATTCTAGGGTGTGGCTTAGCCAAAGGCGAATTCTCTCCATCTCTGAAAAGTCAAGCCGACGTCGTTTTATTACGAGCTCCGTTGCGTTCTGTTTTTGCCAGCAGACACTCCTGTTCAGCGGTTTTTAAAATGGGTGATTCCCCTGAGGTTTGAGATTTAGCTGCTCCATGTCAATCTTTCTCGCTCATTGTGACAACTAACCTATGCCATTTATACTTTGGGCTTGAGACTACATAATACCAGGTGACTCCAGGGAGCCCATCCCTGTAAGAGGACTGCAGGTTGGTTTGACTGAAAGGGACAATTAGATCATGAGTTAGTAGGGAACTTATTGTGTGTTCTTAATTTCTCCCCCTCTGCAGGTATATGAAGTATCTGTATCCTTACGAATGTGAGAAGAGGGGTCTCAGCAGTCCCAACGAGCTGCAGGCGGCCATCGACAGTAACCGGCGTGAGGGACGCAGGCAAGGTTTTGGCAGCTCACTCTTCACCTACTCGCCCAATGGAACACCCACCATGCTCTCCTCTCCCAAACTCTCCATGCCACCCATGGGCATCGCCCTGCCCAGCAACGGAGCCTCCATCTTATCCTTACAGAAAATTAAAAAAGGTAAAACCTGCTCACAGACATGCGGAAATAATGCAGAGGAACTCTTTCCCCGCCACTGACAAAAGTTTACGTCATTTGTGAGAAAACGGATTATGAGAATTTTCCGTCTTTGTATTTTCACTGTTTTACGGTTGGGGGCACTTCTCAAAGAGTACTGAATCTCCTGTTCAAAACACAGGCGAAGAAGCAGCAGAAACAAGCGAAAGCGATTGTAAGCATATCCATATGTAAAATAAATAAAAAAATGCTGCCGCTGACTGACAACTTTTTTCCAAAAATGCTGGTGGGGAAAGAGTTAATGACATCTTGGTGTACACGTGTCCTTTAATGTTGCCATATGATTTGCTTTATTTCAAATGTGTTTTGTCTTTCTAACTCTTTCTCTGTTGTAGAGGATGACGGGGTTCGTCTGCCAGTGTCTCTGGCCAGTCAGACGGTAGCTGCGGCCCAGGCTGCAGCTGCACAGGCCACCATCGCACAGGTAGCTGCACTGGAGCAGCTGCGGGACAAGCTGGAGTCGGGCGAGCCCCCGGAGAAGAAGATTGCACTACCACTGGAGGAACACCAGCGGCTACTGCAGAGAGCTCTGCAGCACAACCTGCTGGCCATGACGGCACAAATCCCTATGAACATTCGCATCAACAATCAAGGTACTGACACTTTAACATTCTGGGCTCCAGACAAGTGATATTAGTAAGGATGTGCAGACTAATTTTAAAACCAACTAGACCAGGGCTGGGCTCCACTGAGATCCAATTTCCTTGCAGAGTTTAGCTCCAACCCCAATCATACTCGCATCATGCCTGTAGCTTTCTAGCAGAGATGGTCTCATTATTGGGAGATAACAGGGTCTGTGGCTCTACAATTGGAGAAAGCATAACGGCCAACTTGGATCACAAGTTTCTGGATAACCAATCACATTACAGCCTTGAACTCATGGAATTTCTTTCAGAGTTGTGCGACGGTTAGTCACTGTTTGCATACAAAAAAGTCTGTGATATCTCTTATAAAACAGAAGTTTTTCCTAAAGTTTAATGGCAAACATGTTGAAGATTAGCTGATAGGCTGTTGAGTCATTAAATAAGCTGTTTTCCAACAAAAGCAGTTTATTCAGTGTAGTGAAGCATTCAAAAAGACAGGTAACCTTGAAGGCTTGCCTTATAGTGACTTTGTTTCTAGTAATCCAGGGTTGGAGGAAGTAAACTCTGCATGAAAGTAGATCTTGAGGGCTAGATTTGCCTAGCCCTGGACTAGACAGGGTTGCTTAACAAATTTTTCACCCAAAAAATTAATTTCTGTCATTTACTCGCACTCATGTCATTCCAAACTCATAAGACTTTCGTTCATCTTCAAAATACAGATTAAGATATTTTTAATGAAGCTCACTAAGTTTCTTTCAAGCTTCAAAAACTTCAAAAAGACATTGTAAAAGTAATCCATATGAATCAAGCCGTTTAATTCAAGTCTTCTGAAGAGACTCAATCGCTTTATAGGATGAACAGAATAAACATTGATCAGCACACATACATATAAAGTAGTGGTGCACGATATATCGGCCGCCGATATAATATCGGCCGATATGGTCAATTTTTTACACATCGGTATCGTTCCGATGTCAAAATAGGGCCGATGTGAACAGGCCGATAATCATTCCTGTGTATTTGACGTGTGTGTAGATGCGAGTGTGGGGGCGGGGATGTTTGTTTTTGCACGAGCAAGCGCAAGTCCTGTCAGTTTAAACATCAAGCAAGAAGACTGGAACTTGCGCGCTGTTTTCTGTCAGCCTTACTAAGGCGTATCTTTGTCCCGCCAAAGCCTTATTTGACCGGTGAGTGATGTAGATGAGTGATGTAGATGACTGACTGCTGCGCTTGTTTGAGAGAACGAGCAGAGAGAGTGAAAGGCAAGCCCCGGTGGCGCGCACGCGCGCGCACTCACAGTCTTTAAACTGTCTTGCTCTCTCTCCCTCCCTCGCGCATATTAATGAGTTGAGTTGACTGAATATCTTTGAGAATACACGATGGTAAAAGGTCGGAAGACCGAAGTTTTTTTTTTCTGAACTACCAGGTTGTGAATTGTGCTAAAATAAAGTTGCCTTATCTTCTCTGAAAAGCTTTCCACACATTCAGATGACATAAACCACACTTTCAATAAACAAAAAAAAATCTATCTAGTGATGAAATGTTTTCTGTGTTGAGACAAATCTTGTGCGATGTCCTAAACTGCCTGGATAATCACACGACGTGTGCCGTGGTCCATTAATGACACGTCCGATTCACGAACTAATGACTCCTTTGAACCGATTCACTTTAATGAATGGTTAAAACAACTGATCTGTCCAACACTGAACTCAAGAGACATAAATCAGAAACACTTTACAATAAGGTTCCATTTATTAAAGTCTAGCTAACTACATTAGTTAACATTCTATTAATATTAGTTTCTTTTTTATTAGATATTTTTTTACCAATATCGTGCAGCCCTAATCCTCGCTATGTGTTTTCTATACAGATATATCGACATCGGTAAATATCGGTATCGGCCATAACAGCAATATTAATATCGGTTATCGGTATCGGCCACAAATTTTCACATCGGTGCATCACTAATATAAAGCATATGAAATATGGTAAACAGAAGCTCCACTGTACGCATGAAAGCCAATGAGGTTTGTTCTCGCACATCAAGCAAGCTATAGTTGAGCTGCCATTTACCATATTTGATGTGCTCTACGTATTTGCGTTGATCATTACTATGGAGGACATTCTACATACTATAATGTTACACATTTGCTGAATTAAGAAATATGTATATATCTTTGTTTAGATGTGGTGTACGAGATGTTCTGCTGTTATCTGTCTGTCTGTCTGTGTATATAAAAAAAGATGGAGTACACAGCATAAATTAGTACACCATCTGTAAATTTAAAGATACATACCGGTACATATTTCTTAATTCAGTAAATGTGTAACAATGTGCAGCTCAAAATATATATATTCATATACATTGTACGTTGAAACATGTGTGAAACATAATCATTACAGTTAGCCTACATAGAGTTGCCTCAATTTGCATTCTTACTGTGGTTTTATCTTTTCCCATAAACACCTACCTGAGAAAAAAACACCTTTTATAAAACGTCTGATGTTTCAGGGAAACCTGTGTGTGGAATATCCAACTTCTGGTTCCTGAGGTTATGAAATGAACTCGGTGTGTTTTCTAGTGCAGTACTGCAAAGCCCCTCTTACATCATCATTCACTGGCACTAACTATTTTGTAGAAAAGGGTGTGAAAATATTACCACAGACTAAATTACTGGCATGTGGTGAGTGCACTTTGCAGATGGAGATGTCAGCCTCCTCCTGTAGTGTGAGTCATTAGTCTGAGCTCTCACAGTAGTAACTCTAGTACTGTTCTTACTAAATGCTGTTCTTGTGAATGAGGGAAGAGGATGTGTAAAAGTGCTCTGATTAGATCTTATCAGAGTTGAAAGTTGGACTGATGTATTTACTCTAAAGGATGGTGTCATTAGACGACTGGAGGTGTTGACCCATTTTAAACCGCAAAGACAAAAATACAAGTCAAATGTGGGGAATCCCTGCCTCAACACAGATTGATTTCCTTTTCTTGGTTAGAGGTGTTAAATACTAGAGGTTTCACCTTGCATATTTTATCGGAATATGAATAAGAGACTGAACAAATTCCCCTTGCCACTGCATGTGAACTGTTTGCGTTGTTTTTTAAACTTGCTTGACTGGGAAATGGCTGAGAAGTAGCGTCCCCTGCTGGTAGCCAGTATGCTTTCAGACTATACTGTCTGAATGCCACAGAGGATTATTACTATTGCACATACTTTGGGTTAGTGATTTGTATAAATCCCCACCCCATGTATTAAATGTTGGCACTTAACTTGTACTAGACTTTTTGTGTTGCATAAATAAGTAAGAACTCATGCTACTTTTTGAGGAGAGTTGTGCTATTACTTTTCCAAAGTGAAAAGAAAATGAATCCGCTTTTATTCAGATGTAAACTCTGTTTGTTGTCCATCAGAGAGCAGACCAGACTCTGCCATGAACCTGACTACCAATGGCCTAAACAGCATCAGCATGTCTTTGGAGCTTAATGGAGTCGTCTACACTGGTGAGGAGCCTGTCGCCACGTATATTTTGTGTGTGTGTGTGTTCAAGTTCTCCCTCGTTTCGATTGTGACCGATCTTCCTGTTTTCTCATAATAGGTGTTCTCTTCGCCCAGGCCGCGGCGCAGACCTCATCGGGTGCATCTAACAAATCTTCCGCAGGAAACAGCGGGCCTCAATCAGTTCTCCACACGCCTACCTCATCCTCCTCCAACAACCAATCACCTTAGCACCTCAGACTCTCTCCCTCAATGCGAAACCAAAATCTCAGTTACTACAGAAGATATGCCAAAAACTAGTCAGGAATAACTGAACCGTTCTCAACTTGAAGTACACTAGCTCAGGTCTTTTATTTACACTCTCCTTTGTTCAGGAGTCAAAAGAAATCTAAAATAACAACAGAGTTTATTATAAAGATAATGATATATATAATGTATATGCAAAACCTGTGAATAATTTATTTCTCTTTCTGTGAGCACACTGTCTGGCGTTAACAAGGCAGTAGGATTCTGCTTTTTAGGGTTTTATAATCTGACCGATGAAAGCTTTTCGTCTATAAGCAAAGCCATAACAATAGTAGGATTGTTATAACGTGTGATGCAAACAGCTTAAGGGTCTGAACTAATAATATATTATTATAGATTTTATTTTCCCTGTGTATGTATCTGCAGTGCCTTGTGAAGGTTTTTCCTCAGCACACTTTGAATGTGCTGTTGACAGGCGAGCGTCTAAACTTCAGCACTAACTCGATACAAAGTGCGTAAAGATGTGGAGTTTTTTTTTTTACATTTATTGCAAGTATTCAGCCATTTGATTCCCCATCTTAGAGGTCTGCTCTGTGATGGTGTTAATGCTCTTAATTTCAGGCAGTGAACATTCACGCTAAGGAACTCATTTAAAAAAATCGTAGGCATGCATTTGTAGACGTGTATAATTGCATTCATGGCGTTTTCATTATTCATGTTTGTTTTATTTTTGCCTCTTCATTCTGGCAAACTCTGGAGGCTATACGTTCTCCATGAGCCTCGCAAAGGTGGCTGGGGTATCGCAGGGACCGAATGGCGTTACCTGGAACTGCCACAGCCCACAAACTTCTTTTTTGGCCCATAGTTGCTCTAAAGCAGAATTGGAAGTAGTTCAGAGGTTGTTTTACTTGTTTGTGTATAACTTTGTGGAGCTTTCACTCAGATCAGTGGTTTGGCTGAAAATGATCACAGTTCGACTCAAAGCATGACGGTATAATGATACGTTCGTTTTAAGATTCAAACAAACAATTCATCCTGTGTTTGATTACTACACTAACTGGAGATTTAGTTTGTCACCTCATCGGGTCTTTTAGCTTAATGTAATGCAGTGTTGAGTGTCATTGAGGGGTCCAACAATGCAGCCTTTGCTTCATCACGCAGGGCAGTTTCTGGTTATGTATTTTTAACAAAAAAAAAACCAACAGCACAAATCAGAGAAAATTCTAATTACAATGGGATGTTTTGAAAGTGTCTTGAGCAGAATGGATTATTCTCTTCTAAAGTGAGTTGCTTTCCTCTGTTTATTTTTTTAGGTTGTTTTTAATCATGTCATCAACTGTTCCGGACAGTAAGAAGGTCTTTTCCCTGTCCTCAGCAATGTATTGTCAAGCTCTTCTAGCATTACACTGTATGCAAGGTCAGAAAAACTCACTTGGTGGGCATCTAGGGGTGAAACTTTCTTTTGATTGATACAAACATGGTAGTCTTTCATCTGAAATTGAATCATTTATTTTGGATTTCAAGTTAGTTGGGCGTTAGGAAAATGGGGTTTCCAGAAGCTTAAAGCTGTCTTTTTAATCCAAAACAGCTTGCAGGTACAGATTCTTTGGAGAAACTTAGTTAAATGCCTTGATCCTTTATTTGGGATCAGACTTGTGGCCTTTGCTTTCACTGACGAGATCCTTAACCGTCAAGCTACCACATCCTCTTTTTCTCATTTTAACGCTCACTCTTGAAGCAATCCTTTATTATTCACAAGGACCATAGTTGCTGTACAGGAAACGGTCTAGAAAAGGTTGTTACTGTTTCTGTCTGTATTGTACAACTGTACATATTAGGTTTTTTTTTTTTTCTATTTATATCAGGACAATCACACTTCAAAGTCATTACTGCCAAATCTCTACCTCAAAGACTCATTTATCAGCTCAGAATCGTTTGCAAGCCTTCCCAGTTTGCCACTTTTCACATGGATTTACCTGCTGTGAAGTAGAACAGGGCATACATGTCCACTTTTATTCTGTTAATTTGAATATATTAGCCATGATATCCATAAAGCTCCTTCTTGCTTGTAAAAATGCCACATTGCATTTTTCCTCTGCTTATTTTAAAGAGAAGCTTGTTCCTGTTTCATCTGCCAGTCTGCCTTTTGGAATCAAATCCCTCAACTTTTAAGTGACCGTTGTCATGTAACAGTAGGTTTTTATTTTAATGGCCTTTACCTAGTGTATTTCGATCAGAGATGCTGTTTTTTTTTTGTTTTTGTTTTTTTTAGGAAACAATACTGTTACTGTTGGCACATTTTAAAAATTAAATATAGCATGCTAATGTAGTCAACTTTATTGCAAGGACAACCAAAATTGCTGTACAATAAAACGTTGCTATTAATGCAGGATGCCTTATTCTTTGATATTTCTTTGTAAGCTTTTCTCTTTTCAGAACTTAACATTACACTAAAAAATCAAGTCATTCACTTTTCCAATACATAGACAGCTGTGAAATTTAGGATTTTTGTTAAGAAAAGGCATTTGTCGTCTTCTCAGGAAATACAATTCTACCTCTAGTTATACAGAAATGTTCATCTTAGTGCTGTGGTCAGTGCATATAACATTTATTTTACCCTTTTATAATGGTAATGGTAAATGTTTCCCTTTGCACACTGACTCAAGGGTTTTTATTAATTGCAAGTATATTATATGTATTTTTTTCTTTTCTTTTTAAAAATCTCAATATCCCTTTTTTTTATGTGAGTGCTTTTGAGTTTTGGCTTGCTTAGTTTGACTCTGAAATTGCTCCTCGGAGAGACCAGGTTTTGGTTACGGACGGTGCTGAACGTACCACTGATGCACCATTCTGTGTATTTCCCCTTGTGCGTTTTTAAAACGTTTGAGTTGCGTAGTGTCGACCTCTTGACTGCTTCTATTAGGGGTGAAGGACAAAGACAATCCTTACCTTTTTAATTTGTATCGATATGTAACTGGGGGAAAGGGGATCTGACGAATGTCACAAAAGTGCTGTTATGGCTGGAATATTATGGATTCAAAATACTCTATAACCTATATTTTAGGAAATCGTCTCAACAACTGTACCTCTCTGTCTGAATGCTGAAAACCCAGATAATGACAAAAAATGCACACCTCGACACATTTAAAACAAAATGCAGTTAACAGACAAAACAGTTTTTTTTTGCTTTGTTTTTACCGAAGTTATTGGCTTTTTTATATGATGTAATGTAATAGTAATTCTGGAGCTTCAGTTTGGGTGTGTCTGTTTTCTGTTGTGTTCAGTATGTTATTGCCCTGTTTAAAAGAGACAGTTCATGAGTTTTGTTTCAGAGTTTGCAAAATGTACTCTCAACGTTTACATTTTATAATTGTCAAGCATCAGATTTTTCAATGTTTGATTTTTCAAAATTGAGATCTTCAGCTGTTAACATTGAATACAATAAAATGTAATTCTGATGTAATGTTGTTAGTGCAGTTCTTGATTCTTTTCCATTTAAAACCCCTCCATATTATAGAAACATGTCAACACAAATTTGTGAAAAGTTTTTCTTGTTCAGAGGTACAGAATGATTATTTTTTTATACCAAAATGAAACCATGCTATATTAAAATGCACATTAAAAAGTATTTTAACTATCAAGTGTTGGAGATAATGCTTTACAAGTAATGAGAGTTAATCAGATTAGTTTTTTCAAGTAACACAATTTCTGAGTTACTTTCTCAAATTAGTAACGCAAGTATTATTTTCCCATGTATAGACTGACAGGACAGTTATTCTGTCCCCATGTTGAGAGAAATCAGTAAGTGCTGAGGAGTTGTGTGCGCTGTGTGAACATGATGCTTATTAGTTCTAGACTAACATGCATGTTAATATGTGAACATGCATTTGCTCATCTCATTTGCACAGAAACAGATTCAGTATTCCTCAAAATGAATAAAAACCATAATTGTCAATTTTGTTCAACAAATCACATTTTTTAAATGAGTGTTGTTTTTTGACCCTATAACCTTCAGGTTAGACACCATATTGAATTCAGATGAACAATGTATGGTGTTAAACAACAGTACAGTCCATTGAACGCATTTTTTAGTACCTCACAGCCTTATTTTCATTCCTGTCCAAATTTAAATATGGTGGTACCCTGATAATTAAGGTTTATTTAAAGGGATATTTAATCCTCTTGCATCCAGTGTGAGACATAAGGCCACATTTAAAGGGATAATTCACCTAAAAATACAAATTCTGTCGTCATTTATTCACCCTCAAGTTGTTCCAAACCTGTATGAAGGTCTTTCTTCTGCAGGTATAATAGCCATAGACCGTATAAGAAGCATATATTTTGAAGAACGTCGGTAACCAAACAGTTGATGGAGCCCATTGACTTACATAGTATTTTTTTTAAGTCAAAGGGGTCCATCAACTGTTTGGTTACCCATATTCTTCAAAATATCTTCTTTAGTAACTCGAGTAAGTGATGATACATTTTTAAAAACATTATTAGCCATAAAATTCAAGAAGAAAAATGTCACATTAAGATCTCTAATTTTTATGAAACATTAGCAAATGTCATTAAATAAAATATGTATATCATTAAAAGGTATTTCGTGAAGTTGTCAGAAACCTGTGCAGCCAAAAATGACTTTTGCAATGAAACCGATTTGCCCTGTCAATGTGACTTCCGCATCACGTTGCGCCGTTGTTCTTTGTAGCTCCGCCTACCCCTTTGAGTTTGAGGTCTGATTGGCTAAAGCTCGATTGTGTTTTTTTCATCAGTTTAAACTGAGGTCAGTCAGTCTGGAAACAGCGAGACGAAGCAGGTTAATGCAACTCTTGAACTACTACATTATTCCTGCGTGTTTAAAGTGTTTTGGTCCGTTGATCGACATCGTTTAATTAGGGCTGCGGGGAAAATGAGACTTCGCTCGAGAAATATTTTAAATGAAAACCCACCGACACCGTCCCGCCGCCGTCGAGCCACTCCGGAAAGCCCGAGCCCTCAGACGCCACTGGTCAAGAACCAGGTCAGTACCGGCTGTATTGAACACTAGTTACGAAAAGATAACAACAAAACGTACGTGTGTTTGGTGTGATTGAGTATGTGATTGCGCATTAAATATGAGTGATCTGCACTTGCCTGGTTTAGCATGGTGCTAACTGATTTAAAGCAAGAGATATTCGGATTTCGGACCGAAATTAAACTACGATAATATAATAATGTTTCATCAAAACATTAAATACAGAACAGGCTATAGTTCATATGAATAATGGTCTGTGTGTGCTGCTGGTTAAAGTTTCTCAGTGCTGTCCCAGATGTGTTTATGGACAGGGCCTGTTCTCACCGTGTAAGTTAGCCAATAAGATTTCAGTATTATTGAATTGGAATGGGAAGTTTTGTCTCGGCCAATCAGCTTCTCTGTATATAATCGACGAAGAAGCACGTGGATCATGTAGTTATTATTGTTTATTAAAACACAAACTTAAAGTATATTGATTGTTAATAATTTATGTAATTTTGATATCCAAAGGTAAACATTTTAAGTTTTTTTTTTTATAAATTATTATGAAATGTGTACCATTTATTAACTGGCTGTTTTTTCATCCTTGCTTTAGGATGAAGTAAAACTTCTTCAAGACTGCCCGAATCTGGATCCTGATGACGTCCCAACAGCAGCCAAACGTCCACGGAGGAGGAGAAAAGCTTTGTCAACTGTTGACAGTAAAGGTACACCATTTTGTTTGACAAATTAATGTTATATTTAAGAGTCTATTAATGATGATATTGTATTAAGAAATCATGCTCACCACTGTGTTTTTAGAGTCAGATTTCAAGACTCCAGTCCGTCACCTTCGGGAAAGGCATTCCTTATTGAATCCTGCTGCTCGGAGCCTCTACTCTCCTGCAGTTCACTTTCTCACACCACCAAGAGACAGTGAGTGCATTTAAACTGTTACATAACTTAATCGAGTCAGATACCATGAAACTATAAGATATATCATATCTTACATTTCTGACAGCCATGCATTACAGGGATGCACCGATTCCATTTTTTCAGAACCGATCCGATATCAGCGCAGTGATAAATTTCTATACCTTTGTGTGTTGAACTGATAATTACTCTTTTGTGTGTTAAACATCATCATAAAAACAACAAATGCACAAATGATATGATCATAATCTATGACAAAGCACTCTTATAAAATAGATTAGTGGAAAATTCAGTGGCAAAAGTTATTCTAGAAAAATCATGAGTGCACAATAATTGTATTAAATCTAAACATGGATTTCCTGGACCTGGATTTCATCTTATTAACGCCTGAACCTCGTCGTCGTTCCATCGTATTTTTTTAACTCCTTTGTTGATTCGAATAGCAAACAACTATTACTGCACGCAACGCAACAGATTTTTAAAAATGGGTGTAATAAAATGCTGCGTGGAGTCAACCAATAAAAATGTGGCATGAACTCAACCAACCTGCATGTTCAGCAGTAACCTCAAGTGAATCAGTATTAAGGCCAATAACCGAGCCAGCCTTTCTAATCAGTTTATTAATACTATTTTTATCATCTACAGTGATACTACATCCCCAACAGAGCACTGCATAAAACAAAACACTAGTGGTGCCACGGATCATCATTGATTCGTGATCCGTTCGGATCAATATCTTCGGTTCGGCACACACGTGATCCGCGGATTGATTTATGAAAGAAAAAAAGATTGTACGCATGTTCAGTCCACACACAACTCCACAGCGTGGTCATGGCGAGCGGAGGAACGAAGGAGCTTGAACGCCCTGCGTCATTTAAATCCCCTGTATGGGAGCATTTTGGCTTCCCTGTCAAATATAATGATGAAGTAAAGAGGTTAGTGGATAAAACCGTGACGGTGTGTGTAGGGTGGCCATACGTCCGGATTTTGGCCGGACAGTCCGGAGTTGCGCTGAATTGGCCTAAAAAAAATGACTTATAAAAATCCTGCATATTGATAGCGGCTCCCTGATACCCGCAAATTAGTTCAAATCTCCCGGAATCTAGAGCGCGCATGCGAGACAGAACATATGTGCTCCAAACCGTGTAGCGCGCGCACGGCAGAGAGGGAGAGAGCGAGAGACCTTGCGTGTGTGTGCATGTAAGACAGAGAGCATCCTGATTGGCCTGTTTCGGTAAGTCAACCAGTCAACCCCCCTAATATCTCTAAAAGTAAGATATTATGCCTTGTACACTTTAAGTTGATTTTTTAATTTAATAATTTAAAAGTGTTAATAAACAAAAAGACAAAACTTATGTTTATTTGTCGTGTCGTCTTTGCTGATCCGAAAAATGATCCGATCCGTGACTCTGATCCGAGAAACAATCCGAACCGTGAGTTTTTTGATCCGTTGCACCCCTACAAAACACTAGCTACGATTCCCTGATAAAAAACATAAAGAAGCTTCCTACTTACTCCACTAGAACTCAACTTCCTCAAAAAAATAGTCTTGATTGCGCCTTATTAAAAACAGCCTCACTATTCTTCTTCCAGTTCAGTTTACTGTCCAAATGGACACCAAGATATTTATAAGACTGAACAGTCTCTACTTTCTGACCGTTAATTATCACTGGTACTATCACTTCTTTTTTTTCTTCTAAAATCAATGATCAACTCCTTAGTCTTCTCCACATGTTGTTCCAACCCCGTAAGACTTTGGTTCATCTTCGGAACACACAAAAAGTATTCTCGTCGCTTGATAAACTTAAGGTTGATCCACTGTAGTCACTTAGACTATTTTAACCCTTTCACACGTAAGTTTAAAATATTCTAACTGACCCCCCAGCGTGAGTTTTTCAAGGCGACCGTTATTTAGAACCTGTCACTTTAATGTTTCCATGGTGACGCGTCATTTCTTGTCACGTGACACAGCGCAATCACAACACAGAGCTGAATGAGTGATGATCTGCTTTTATGTCTTTTTTCCTTTTCTATTCAAAATATTCACAAATGTATTAGCTACAGCATGAAACACTGATATTCCGATTGTCAAATATGTGCAAGTGGATGTGTTTTGTTGTTTAAACATATTTATAACGATCGCATTAGTTGAGCTGTATGCACGATGGGCGGCGCCATGTTAGTTTGTTTCACAGTTCAGAGAATCGGACCTGTTGTTTCTCACGAAATACATGAAAGTAAGTGGCCGGTGAACTAGGAGAAGAATAGGGTAAAATGTAAAGCTACTTACACAATGTGTATCTGATATGAATAAAACGTTTTGTCTTATTATAATGGAAATGATTATTGTTGCCGTTTCCATAGACATCAGTGTCTATTTTACTAATTCAAAATCACTGTTTTGCTAGTACTTATGTGTATTTAAATGTCTGAAACCTAAAATAAACATTATGTGGTTTAAAATACTCAATAGTTGTGATATATGACAGCACTGAGCGCGTCTGTCTCTGGCTCAGCGCCAGCCAACGCGCGAAAGCACGTTTGAATTTAGCAGTTGATCACGTGATGCACTGACCGTTCTAATCACACCGGTGTGATCGTACGCTCCAGGGACCAGCCAAGACTGATCACACCGGTGTGATCGTACGCGTCAAAGGGTTAACGATGTCTTTAATATCTTTCTGGGCCGGGAAGTTTCAATTACAATAGAAGCCTATGGAGGAGTGAGACAGCTCTCAGATTTAATCAAAAATATCTTAATTTGTGTTCCAAAGATGAACGAAAGTCTTACGGGGATGGAACAACATGAGGGTGAGTAATTACTGACAGAATTATTTTTGGGTTAACTAACCCTTTAAAAGTCATTTAATGGATTTAGCAAAAATTAAGGCTTGGCCAACGTCAGACCACGTTTCATTGACATTGAGACTTGGGTCTGGGAACCACATGTTCATTTTCTCGTATTTGAGCCGTGGTTTACGAATGCCCAGAGCCGTTTATTGGGTGCTATGAATGTCTATCAAATGCGCCTATACGTACCTCATAGCCAATCGTTTCAATTATACCAGATGACGTATGTAGAGCGAAAGAAATTAGACGAGGAAGAAGACGATGGGTCAGAGATTTATTTGCGTTCTAAACTACTTAGAACAATATCTAATGGTGCGTTCACACCGGACGCGAATAGCGCGTCAGGCGCGAATGATTTCAATGTTAAGTCAATGCAAAGACGCGTTACGCGCGTAAAAAATTCCTGCGGCGCGAATGAGGCGTAGAGCGCGGCGCGGTAGACGCGAATACGCGAATGATTTAGTTAGTGCTATTTGTGCATACACGCGTTTGACGCGAATTTGCGTCTGCCGCCCGAGTTGAAAAATCTGAACTTCTGCGTCAATTCGCGCCGCGTTAACCAATCAGGAGCTTAGCTGCTTGCTGCTGTCACGTGGTGAAGTATCTGGATGCTTCAATAAATTTTGTAATATGACTGTGGTTCTAATGCACAACAAAGCAAATATTTTATCACATAAAACTTGATTTCAATATATGAGACATATTCATTTTGTATTGAATGCTATTTATTCCATATCTAGATTATATGAAATATTATTATAATGTAAAGACAACCAACATATAAGTTCGTGTCTGGACAGTGTTGTGTGAGAGAGAGAAAAAAATCACAGGACAGATTAATCACTTTTGGAGGCTGGCTCCATTTATCATCAAAACAAAAATAAATGACAGATTAGGTGGATGAGGGCGAGGGTGATCCTCGCTCCGATGCGGGACAACAGGTCATCAAGCTGGGCGCGGGACAGGCGGAAGTACCGCTGAAAGCGGCCGTCATCCAGGCGCAGCTCCTGGAGCGAGCAAATGGTGAAACTTGCCACACTGGGTTAAACTACGGCGACGATTACTCCTACGCCGCCGTTCTGCTCTCTTATTCAGAATATATGCTGTATTCAGAGTAAATACAGAGCGGTGACTCTCTCGATGAATGCTCGATCAACATAAAAAAGATGGCCGCCAACGGGTTTCTAATCTGACGCGCGTGACACGCGTAAATTTCGCTTCAAACTTTTCTTTTTAAGCGCGTCAGTTTCACTTTTGACGCGCCAATTAACACAAAGTGGTCAAGCGTCAAACTAGACGCGAATTCGACGCGCTATTCGCGTCCGGTGTGAACGCATAGTAAGGCTGCATCGAAAGGTAACTTCGCGTCTGCTGCCATGTTTGATCCATAGGTATAAACAAACTGCTTCGGTGTGTCGCATAGACGTCGTCATAGTCTTGCTGCTCCCTCCCCGTTCTGTGATTGGTCCCCTCGCTGAGGCGAAAATTCGGTCCATGGTATCCAGAATACCTAGCAGTGTGAATAAAATGGCGCTGCGCAAAGGCAGTATGGGGAAACCCAGGCTAGCCTTAAATGGCATTAAAAAGCGTTACATTTTAATTCTACAGGCATTAAAAATTTAGGTAGTTTTTAAGAAAATTTTATATTATCAATTTATTTGAATATAGCCTTCATAATTAATAGTTAGTGGTGCTTGCCAAAGGCAAGGCATCACTATTGTTATCGCTCATACTTAAACTTCGGCACGCCACTCCTCCCGCACCGTTTATCGTAGACCCATGAATGAGGTGTCAAATCGACCAGTTTATTGAGGAGAGGTGTGCTATGTCTTTTCTAAGCGATCGGGTGTACAATGTTCGTCCGGCGGGCGAAAAATATGCCGAAAAAAGTCCCATAGGCTTAACATTGGCACAAAATTTGTAAGATCATATCTTTGGATCAGAAGGTCAGAGAGACTTGGGGTTGGGCTCATTTGACTCTGCCTATGAAGTAGCCAATAAGTACTGACATAACAACATCATAGCCATGCCGTAGCAACCTGTTACAGGACCCTAGCAACCATTAAACAACATTAACAAGCAAAATCTCAGCACCAGAACATTGTAGAAACACAGAGTTGGACTTTTTTGACTCAGACAGTTAAATGATCTTTAAATATCAACCCATCAACTGTATAAGCAAACCCTAGTACCCATAAAGAGTACCCTAGCAACCGTACAAACACATGAATAAGCTATATCTCAGCACCAGAACATCGTACAGACATGGAGGTGGGCTCGTTTGTTTCGGTGGGGAAACCAGTCTGTAAATATCACCATGGTAACTGTGCAACCACACCCTAGCAACCGAGTGCCGAGTTTTGCCACTTCAAGCACCACTCAAATTTTCTTCCGGAAATGTACATTCTAGTTTGTATTTGCTGTCGCAAAATATGTACATTAGTGTGATAAACACACGGAACCAGTTTGGTAATTGCTTCCGGCCTGAGCAAAATTGCCTTGATGCGGAGGTGACGCGGGCATTTTGTACAGCGATGGACAGGAATAAAACTAGAGCAGAAAAATGGAAAGTGCAAATTCTTGCAGAAGTGTCTGGAAGACGAACAATTTAGGACATGGTTGCAGCCGTTGGTGGTCAAAATGAACAAGGTGTTGTAGCATTTGTAAAAAGGTATTTAATTTGGTTAACGTTACAATGGGAATCAACGCCTTAAAATCTCATGCAGTCTGACAACCACAAATCGACGGTAAAAGGAAGATGGCAATTAACTATGTGTAGTTACTTCCCCTCATCAGCTTGACATCCGCTGTTAAAGCTCACTTTGTGTTTTTGTGCAGATTTGTTTACATGCAATGTTTTGTCACAGCACTGTGTCTCTTTTGACTTACTCTTTTGACTTTTAACGCGTTAACGCATGCAATACATTTTTGTCCAGTTTAACGCTTTGAAATAGGGTATTTAACGTAAAACGCAGCATCCCTTAATTTTTATCATCCTTTGGGTAGCGTTACATTATATGATCCCGCTCTTATTCACGCAAATGCTTTTAAACCATTCAAGAGCGACAAGAATGAGACGCACTGCCTGTGAATGTCCAGACGCAGAGACAGCGCGCCAGAAAATGGTTCTCTTTCGCGCTTGAACGAACAATAACAGACACACAATGATGCCAAAATGTCCGTTTTGTCGAGTGTCCTCATAAGAGCAGTAATATACGCCGTGCAGACAAAGCCACCTATGTCAAAAATGAGATAATATTGAGTGAATGTTCGATAATAGTATAATTTCTTTTTATTAATTTAACCACTTGTAAACTTATGTTCACTGTTCTTTTTTATAAATATAGGATTTGTATTACATCTATATTCAGTACAAAACTCTTTGGATGTGTCTGACCTTTATTATGAAACATTTTGTCTGTACTCTGTATTTTTAAACTAAACGAGTAATGACTTTCCAGATACCTTGTTATTTAATTTGGTGTAACAGTAGTTTTTTTATTTTAATAGGTGAGCATCCAAACACAAGTCCCATCTTCAGTCCTGAACACTGTGTGTTTGGCTACAGCGCTGCCAGTCCTCTTTCAGAGGATGAGGAGAATGAGGAAGTGTTTAGCCCGTGAGTCTCTTCTACAAAGGAGTTTTTGTGGTTTGGACAATTCAGAGTGATTGAAGTGATTCATCTGTGGTTTAATCTGATTGTTGTCACTGTTTTTGTATCAGCTTCACATTCATTAAGAACATTCCGAACCGTTCACAACAGTCCAGGCCCGTCTCAGCAGTGCGGGACATTCCGCCCAAGACGAGGAGCACACCTGCTGCTACCCTTGTGCTCGATTTGGTAAGTTATCTTCCCTCTAGCCAGCTCAAAATCATTACTTTGGTCAACTCAACATTTTAGTTAAAATGTCACTGAACTGATTGAATTAGCATGCAATTCATTGACTGAATAATTCCAAACTATTGGAGGTTAATGGCAGGGCCATTAATTCAATCAGATGGATCATTAGCACTCCCTTGTTGAGAGAGAGGCTTCAACAACTAGGCCCTAGTTTACACCTGGTATTAAGATGTGTTTTGGTCAATCGGATTACAAGTAGACGAAGGAGACTCGTTTACACCTGGTGTTTTAATCCGTCTCTTTTGTCCACTTTCAACCACTTCTTTCATGATTTGTTCGAGGGGAGGGTCTATGAGCGACTACACTATGAAAGCAATCTGCTCAAATGCGTTTTCGACTACCTCTGAAAGTGGACAAGCTCATAACATTTAGACCCCGTTTACATCTGTATTTAGCGTCTTCCACTTGTGATCCGATCGACCAAAACACATTGTAATACCAGGTGTAAACCGAGCCATAGCAGAGTTTCCGCTAGAAAAAAATTGTGCCGGTCACTACGGACATTTTGATGATATGCCGGTCAAATATCGCCTCTTAATTAGTCGAGTTGAGGAAAACTGGAGGTAGGCTATGTAACTTAAATGACATAATCAGGCCGTATAGAACGCAACATGTTATTATTAGCCTAATTTTCAAATAGACGAAAAAAACATGAACGTCCGATTGGCGTCAATCAACACCAATTGTTTTTTACTATGGTTTCACACACATTCACTTTTTTAAACATTGAGGCACGGATGTACCTAATACAAATAAATTAAATATGTCCACTTAACTAGCAGATTATTTATTTAGTTCGCTATTAAATAAGAGATCTAGCGCTTAAATCTGTTGTTTTTGAAATCAAGCTGAGCGCTCGTGTCGCTGCTATCAGTTGCATGGACGACTCGCTGCGCGAGTTGCGCAATCTTCACTCGGACGCGCGTTTCAATCTATCGCCGTTGCCGAGACTCTCTATTCATTCCGGTGAAATCACAAAATAAAATGCACACAAACGTGTCCCTGCTTGATATAGGCTGTAACCACTGATGAACATATAGGCTATTCAGTTTTGATAAGAGAAAAGCCATCGAGCCGGTAGATATCAGCAACTACCTCGTCTTACAGACATACTTTGACTTTACAAAGTTCGAAAACGTTACACAAACATAGCCACTTAAGTTGTATTAACTCACCTTTGACGAAGTGATCGCTGCACACACGGGCATTTTCCCATTCGGCTCCTCCCGACTGCAGACGTAGGTTTGCAAGCCATTTTTCCGGAGTTTTTCGGTCAATTTCTTGCATTTTCCCCCCTTATGAACAACAACTTTTGGTACACGATAAAAACTCATCGTGGTTTGATCGATTTACGTAACCATAAACGACGCAAAACATAGGCATTTTGAGTTTGTTATAGTGCTTTCTAAATACAGCAAATCACTTCCTGCCCTCCATTTGCATTTCGCGCCATGGCAACGCAGTGGCGTGACGTCATATGAAAACAAGCTATTGTTAGTTGTTTAGGTCTATATTACAGCCATTTTAGGCGTGCGCTTTATTTGAAATGCAGCATGCGATGTTGTTTAATAACTTTCAAACGGTAGAGCCTGTTCCTTTATAACATAGCCAAAGGTCGGTGTATTTTTGCTTTATACATTTTAGGCTTATTCTCAAATTCATATTGTGTTGGGGGGCGGGATTATAATGCAATTTTAATCGGACAATTTGACCGGAGAGATTTAATTTTGTCGGACATTTACATTTTTTTTCCCGGCAAATGTACGGTAATTACCGGACAACGGAAACCCTGAGCCATAGGTAAATGAAAAGCTGACTAGTGCACTGATTTGATTGAGGTTTAGAAGTGACTGGTTTGACTCTTTGGATTTTATTTTTGTACCATTCTAGGATGAAACACTCGTGTTCAGTTCACTCAATGTGATTGCTGACGCAGAATACACCTTCAGTACCCACTTTCAAGATCACAAGTACAAGGTTGGTGAAATTTGAATTAACCCTATGACATGTACAATCACAACGGAGTGATGAGAACGTTCGATGTGTTACATGATGAACTGCTAAATAAAAATTTGCTTTGCCAGCTTTGGCTGGCTCTGACCATGTCCATCTCTCGATCAGGCCTAGCCAAAACGTGAACGCAAATTTGAATCATATAACTATTTATATATAGTCATATATTGAGTGTTTTCATCCACATAATGTTTATTTTAGATTTCAGACATTTAAATAAACAAAAAACATTTATGCTTTGTTAAATACACTGATGTCGATAGAAACGGCAATAATGATCCTTTCAAACATAATTGCTTTATTCACAGCAATTCACAACAAAATACATTTATTTGCATGTATTTGAGAATAGGAATAGCAGATATTTCACAATATAGTTAACAAGTTTGTGAATTTTTTTAATAAAAAGGACAAATTAAATAAAACCGATACATCTGTCACACAGTGCTTTTTGGGCTGTGGTGTAACGTGACAAGCTTGATGCATCGCCATGGAATCTCACATGTACTCGGACATAATATATTTAAAATTTACGTGTGAAAGGGTTTGTTCAAATCAAATTGTAAATAATTTAAGCTTCTCACATGTCGCTTTTCCACTGCGTGGTAACGGCTCACTTTTGGGGGGTTTTCCACTAGTACCTCGGTTGAGGTTTCAAGCGAGCTGTACCGATACTGAAATGTGATGTGTAAACGCTGCTGATCACTGGGGGTGTAACGATACCCTCAAATCACGATTTGATACCACAATACTGAACCCACGATATGATATTATTGCGATACACCAAGACATATGGTAAAAGGTTAACAGAAAATGTACTGTTGATTAATTCGTTTAAATCAAAATTTGGTTTTACATTGGGTGTGTAAATGAATAGGCTTGGACTTGGTGCTGGTAACCCAATGCACAGGACAATAGTGACATCAAAATAAAAATATACATGATTCTGAAGCTGAAAACAGAATTATTTTAGACGAATATTCTTGCACTCTTTCACTGAGTATATATATTTAAAATAATGTAGGCCACTTTTTACTTGTAAAATAAGACATTTGACATCATCAGGACCCACAAATATTCCCCCATTGCATTATTATACATTATATTCAACTTTATATATAGTAGTTTAATGTAGTACTGACACTAAAACTATAATAAACGTGAATTTTTTCACACACAGTAATTTTCATTTTGGGTGAACTATACACAATACATATTGTCACTATCCACGATACATATTGTTTATGTATAACATAACATATGATAGCATTTTTGTATTGCAATATATTGTTACACCACCTACTGATCGGTCAGAGAATCGTCACTACCAGCCATTGGATTTGTTTGCACGACTTTTTTAAACGACTTGCTTTAAACGACCGTCGCACACAACTTAAAAAAAGAAAGGACTGTATTGTGGTCAGTAGATGAGGTGGCGGTGCAGCTTTAAAGATCAGTCTATAATCCTAACCACTATGAAGCGGTACAAAACTGCAGTGGAAAAGCAAACCGAGTAGGGTGTGTAACGATATTCAAACCGAACCGAAAAACTGATACACCACCCACGGTACATATCGCGATGCTCTCATGGTGCACCGAACGCGCCCCCTCCCAGCCCTAGCCCAATGTTGAGGTTGACCTCACTTTACCTTATGTCACAAAACTCATTTTTCTTCTTTGACATTTGATTAAATAGTAATTTAGGGGTGTAACGGTACACTTATTTGAATACAGCATTGTATCCTTACCGCCAATGATCGCAATAAGCTCCAGGTTTTGTTACTTTCGATAAGCAACAAAGTGTCATTTTTCAAATTATGTCCATTTTATCACAAAATTCAAACAGTAGCTAAATGCTGTTTTGACGCTCTTTAATGTGGCGTGACAGATCACTATATAGGTGCCTCAGTTTAAGTAGCAGCGCGGAGGTCGAGTGAATGCGATCATCTCTTCTTAATTAACATGAATGAACATCTGAAGGTGTGTTGAAAGATGCAGTACAACTTACTGAAACGTGTTATATCGTGTAATCACTCAATCAGTGTTTCAATAGTAGTGTTTATATTAGCCTATATATTCATTATATTTTACTTAACCTGTTAGTGATGTCTTGATTATTTAATGTATGTTTAAAATATTTGTCATGAAAATGATACCATATTTCAACAACGAATTGTGGTAAAAACAAATAATTCAATTTAGAAGTTAATGCAAAAAGTTTGCGTACAATTTGTTATTTGAGTGTTGATTATTATATCTAAAAAATAAATAGCAACTGAATTTAGGCTAATAGTTTGGCCTCTATTGTTAACCTTTAACACTATCTTTGCTCCCCTCGTCTTCCCAACCATTTCCTCCTGCATAATCTGTTTTTTTTTTCTTCTTCTCCTTTTCGCTGCAAATCAGCGCACAGACAATTTGGAGCTCAAGCTTCTTGTGGGCTATCATTTTTAATAACAATTTCAGTATCACACGTGATTAGGGCTTGTCCTAAAACCATTTTTTGAGCTTCGAAGGTTCGGTAGTAATGAACATCGAATATTCGAAGCTTCGGAATCTCTATAGGCTATGTCTGTCTGTCTGTCTGTCCGTTTGCATTTTGATTATTTCGAGAACCGTTCATCCAAACGACTTCGCAAGGGACTGCAGTGTCGTAATTGCTGCAATATAGATAGACAGGCAAGACGCGACACGTTCAGAATTAATAAACTTTCAATAAACTACAGAACAGCGCGAGCGGGAAGCAGCGCGCCTCACGCGAGCAGAGCTTATATGCTCCGAGAATGGACACTGCACTATATATAAAACACACACACACACAGGTCTGTTAACTTAAGCAATATTTTTAATAAGGTAGTCTAATATTTTTCTCACTAACAAGTTACTGACAAAGTAGGGTAGATTTAAATAAAGAAGCGGCGCGCCTCACGCGAGCAGAGCTTATATGCTCCAAGAATGGACACTGCACTAGTGATATAAACACACACACACACAGGTCTTTTAACTTAAGCAATATTTTTAATAAGGTATAGTCTTATAATATTTTTCTCACTGACAAAGTAGGGTAGATTTAAATAAATAACTAAATTTAAATAAACTAAAAAAAAACGAAATTTAAATAAATTAAAAACGAAATTTAAATAAATAAAAACGAAATTTAAATAAATAAAAACGAAATTATGACGTGACGTCCCAGTAAAATCTCAGTCTCCTATATTTCGCAGTAGATTAATTTAGATTGATATTAACGGGTAAAAAAGGATAATACATTTTGTTTCTATTTTCCACAATGTCAAAGCAACGCAGCTTAACTCAAATACAAGCTTAGGCATGCACTTCTGTCCATACAAACTCAGCTGTTCTGCGCTCTAGCCAGAGAATACTCCCGTTGCAGGAACACTTTTAGTAGTCCAAGAAGAAGCAAATATATTTATTAAATAGCTATAACGAAGTTATATGTTAATTATTATATTTCACCAGATTTTATAGTGTAAAACATATTCAAGTGCGAATGAGAACCGTTTTTGAGGGGGATGCCAGGTGTTAAAAAAAAAAAAAAGACAAATATTCGAATGTCACATTTTCAAATCGAATACCAACCCACCCAATGAATATTCGGATATTCGGGTCCAGCCCTACGCGTGATCTTGCGTTATTTCCTTATCACTTGCGTGTGTTTGGTTGTGAAACGCATTTTGTGGACCAGACAGAAGTTGTCGGTGATTCTTTCTTTTGTGAAGTCATGCAGTGTGAAACCCCCCGTTGCCAATCCATCGTTCAGTGTGAACACAGCAGCAACTGAATGCAGTGCAGTGTGAAAAGAAAAGTGACCTGACTACTTTGGCTCAGTTTTATGCCGAGTACACACTGCACAATTTTCAAAGTAAAGCGAGCAGAGTAGTGCCGAGCCAAGTCGTACCATGCAGTGGAAAAGTGTCAATGCATGCATTTCTCGGAATAATGGTTAACATCCTCTGACTGTCATGAAAAAGTTTTTGAATTCTGCTGTTCTTGAAGTGTGATGCCATTAACTAAACATTCTTTCACAGGTCTACGTGATCCTCCGACCATATGTGAGAGAGTTTCTACAAGCCATGACCAAACATTTTGAGGTAAACATTGTGAAGACTGACAGGGTGTCTGGGATGATTTTTTGAAACACTGACCGACTATTCACACCAAGACGAATGTCCGGTGCTAGAATTTGGTTCAATTAAATTTGAATTAACAGCTGTTAATTCTTCTATTCAGCCCTGTACCGACATTTGCATGATGTTACTGTGACAATTTTTTTTTTCTAATCTCTTTGTGAATAAAGCTGGCCAACCAATAAGATATGCATTTTGGTCACAAGCCCAAAGCTGCTTTTGTTGCATAAAAAAAAAAAAACATACAATTCTTTGATAAACACTGCACTGAATACAAAATAACGAAATAACTGCCAGAAATGCAGTTACATAGCATCAGGGTTCCTACACATTTTCTGTTTCAAAATACTTTTCTAGACTCAAAACTTCAAACCCTAACCCTAACTTTCAGACCATAGTTAGTATAATGGTTCATACAGCATTATTTTTAGCATTATAATTCATTATTTTCTGGGTATTTTTTATTGGTTTTCTCGAAGTGATAACATGCACTTGCATGATGAGAAGAAACTTAAAATGCTTTATAACCTGCATATATTCACCTCTGACACATCGGTCTAATACTGTAATTGTGGTTTACAGTATCAGCGAAGCACAGTCTGAGTTAATGATTGTTTGCTGCTTTATCTGTTGCTGGTTTGAGTGACAATTGAGTAAACATTAATTTAGTGTAGTTCAAAAGAGGCTCATTTATGGTAAATACAAATAGTTTTGCATAAATGTGGACCTTGAATTCACTCAATCGTGTTCGACAATCATTAAACGATCGCTAAGCTTTTGCCATAAAAACACTTTGCTTGTATTACAAATATATTTTTTGAAATTCTTAATTTTGTATTTTAGAAAACTGAATTAATTTTTTTCATGCTTATCCTGACCTGAAAATTACTTCAATCAAATTGCATACTTTTCCAAACTTCATAGGAACCCTATTGGGTGCTTTTCCATAAGCGCCACCTACTGTCAGAAAGTGATTTTCATTCAGTCCATGTGCTGTTTTTTTTTTACACATTAGTCTACTCTGGCAAAAAAAAAATCAATCTGATTTATCTGTTCAAACATTTGTGTTGTGGCTGGCTTTAATTGTCACCAGTGAGAAAATCTATTAATAAATCTGTTCTGTCTTTTTCTGTTCCAGATGTTTGTTTACACCTCTGCAAAAAAGGAATATGCAGAGAAGATCGTAGATATATTGGACCCTAATAAAAAGCTCTTTAGGTGAGACATTTTACACTTCCATATGCCCAAAATCGTCCTGGAGATGGTTCCCAGCCAGTATCTGGGGAAACCTGTCTCATAACTCACAACTCATTTACCTTGAAGGAAGCATGATAATGTAATTCTGTGTTTTTCTGATTTTTAAGACATCGTTTGTATCAGGATGATTGTGCCTGTGTGCTTGGACACTACATTAAAGACTTGACTGTTCTGGAGAGAGACTTGTCAAAGACTGTCATCCTGGACAACGCCCCCCACACCTTCCCATACCACGTATGTTTGCCTTTATCATCTAGTGTGCAGGAGTCTTTTCTCTGTGAATGTGTTTGTTAAACATCAGGTCTAACTAGAGCTGCACGATTAATTGTTAAAAGAATGCGATCTCGATTCAAACCCCCACGTGGTTTTATTCCTAAATGACAACTATTCGGCTATATACCCACATTCAAATCTGTGTTCACACTGCCACTGACCCAGAGAGAGCAGTTGTCATGTTTAGGTATGAAACCACTTCACAAACAGTCTTTTCAACCACACAGTATTACTATTTCTGTCTTACAATAATTCAAATTATCACAGAAGTACTGGGATAAAAGTTTATAGTTCGGATATAAAGACTGATGTCTAAGGCCTGGGACACACTAGACAATTATCAAATCTTAACTGATTTTAAAACTGTCGGAGACCACAGACATAAGGGCAGTTTCAACCGATTTATAGGGGTTCAAGCACGTAGCGCTGAAACCCTATTAGTAATTGTTACAATTTCCTAGGTGAAATTTTTGGATTTTTTTAAAAGCCTACTCTTGCGAACTAGTCCTAGGTTTTTGGCCCAATCGGAACCAAACCAGTGCAGCAAGATTCTCTGACTGAGAACAGTCTGATTGTCAATCGTTATAAAAAAAGGGTACAATTTCGATTCATGGTCTCTAAGGGCTGCCAAAACATTAAAAGTGGGAGGAGCCACTTTTACTAAAATGGCTATAACTCGTGAACGGAATGAGATATTTTCACCAAACTCGGCACACGTATGTAAGAGCACATTCTGTGGTCGTGTGAAAAGCATGCGGTGACTAGCCACTCAGTAGCTATGTTTCCATCCACACGTTTTTATCCGCATTAAGTGATATCAAATGAAAAATGCCTTATGGAAACAGTAAAATTCGATTGAATTTAATGAATATCGACTCAAATGAAATACGATCGGCCTCATCGGATTTTATCTTGATCGATATACGGCTTATGCGATAAACGTGGATGGAAACGTTATTATGGTGCGATCCATTTTGCCTAGTAAAACTTTGTTCGCAAATGTTGGCTTGCATGTTGTGGAATTCGGTGAGAAAATGAATGGAAACACCTTAACATGTCTCAAATCAATTCGATATACCAATTTGATCGCAAAACAGCATGTGACATCATTACGCACAGGTTTTTATCCGCTTTAAAGCCGTTTGATGGAAACACACTTTCACCAGCTTTATTCGCATGAGGTTTTTTACCGAACTTCAGATAATTCGATTGACAAGTGAATGGAAACATGGCTAGTGGCTCTATAACATGGGAAAAAAAAACATGAAATAAACAAAAGGGTGATTCTCAATTTATCCAGAATAGTGCAGCTCTAGGTCTAACCAGTATATCAGTGACATGTTCTTATTGGATGTGTGTTTGTTTTTTCTAGCTGATGAATATGATTCCCATAAAGAGCTGGATTGGAGATCAAGAGGACCGTGAGCTGCAAAAGCTCATTCCATACATGGAGAAACTAGTGCATGCGGTGAGTGTTCCTTAAACTATTGAATTAAGAGTAGATAGCATAAAACATACTGCAATTTTCAGAACTCCAAATTTCCTACCCTGTTTAAAAAGGCCACTTATTGAATCTTAAAGGGATAGTTCACCCAAAAAAGAAAATTCTGTCAGTGATTACTCACCCTCATGTTGTTCCAACCCTGTAAGACTTATTCACCTTCGGAGTACAAATTAAAATATTTTTTATTTAATCTGAGAGCTGTCTCTCTCTCCTCCATAGGCTTCTATTGTAATTGAAACTTGCCGGCCCAGAAAGTTATTAAAGACATCGTTAAAATAGTCCAAATGACTACAGTGGCTCAACCATAAGTTTATCAAGTGGCCATCATCACACACATGACCAGCGTCGGCCAATAGTGAGCCTACATTCTGACGTACAGCCCAGAAGCACTGCGCTGTTACACTAGATCAGTGGTTCTCAAAGTGGGGTCCGCAAAATAATTTATAACAGCCTACCGTTTTTTCCGGACTATAAGTCGTGTTTTCTTTATCATCTGAAAACATGCTATTTATTCCAAAGTGACTTTTATAATGCATTTAACGTCAAATAATACAAAGTAGACACTTAAAGGTTTCTATAAATAGATAATCTATCTGTATTTATTATGTCTGTGCGTCAAGTAGACTCTTCGCTGTGTTTTGGTTGATTTTTGGTTGATTTTCGCCAGAAAGGAGACAGAGACGGCATGAACCCGCATCCGGTTGTTTTCTTTATTTTTAAAAGGTATGATATTTTGTAGTCATTTATAATGTAGCCTATACACAAATAAAAAATGGACACTTTACCGTTTTGAATGGTGTACTCTTATTTATGGTCATACAGATAAGACAAGAGTATTCCTTTGTTTCCACACAAAGGAAGGGACAGGGGACAGGGCCGTACCCACAATTGAGGTCCCCGAGGTCCGGACCTCTGTAATTTTTCTGTGTATATAATAATAAAAGTTGTGAAATAATTGCCTAATATTAACTTAATTTGGTGCTGCAAGGGTATTGTACATCGCGATGATAACTGACCTTCTCGTCTGAGCTGCTTCAGCAGACTAACAACAACAGCTCGTCAATGTCAAAATGTTTGAGTCGGAGATGAATTCAAAGTAGGCGGGGCTTATGTTCACAGAAGCTGCAAGCCGAGCACGATTTCCCGCACGACGCTTCAGTTAACGGTCATAAAGTGCGAGATAAGATGTAGGCCTAAATTGCTAAACTAAACAGCTGTTTTAGATAGAAGTTTTAAACGAACGACTGAAACAATCAGTTTGCAAAGTATCAATCAAAGCTCAGCTTTGGGAAAGGAAATAGCTACAGGTCAAGAGAAGCATACTGTGCCCATGAGATTAACATTATGGATTCCTATTTAACACAGATATACTGTATGTTTTATAGCTAACTACAGTGGATATAAGCTCAATTTAACAACACACGCACCTATTAAACATATTGCCATTATTATTGTATTGTATAAGCTAGGCTATATTTGTGTGCAGAATAGGCCTAATCCTGGAAACCTTTCTCATTTAAGGCCATTCCTGTTTGGAATATGTGATTGTGTTTTGATATAGCCTACATGTGAACAATAATCATATGCATTCTGCATTTCCATTTTGTATGTGGATCATTCATTGTAAAATTTAAACTGTCATCTTGACAAAATAATGTATGCCACTCCCCACTGACATGCTTCTAAAGCTATAGTTAACCAATTTTGGGGCCTTAAAACACCTTAAAATGCACATGTGTAGATCAAGAACATCAAAAATTCCTCCGGGGGGGGGATCCTAAGTGATCCCAAGTGATCCCTAGCAAGATCACTTTTGGGACCTCAGTAGGCTATTTAGAAATCCCTGCATAGGACCCTGGTGGAGACCATTTGTGCAAAAATATTTCATTAGCCGCTCACACATTAACTTTGTGCTTAATCTTCACTGTTATAAATATGAGGGGGGTCCTTGGACATTTTTTTCCCCTGTAAGGGGTCCCTGGCTCCAAAATGTTTGAGAACTCCTGCACTAGATGAACTCGCGTCAGAGGCCCACACAGAAGAAAATGAATAGTTGAATAAAGAGGTTATTTTTGTTTTGCGCACAAAAAGTATTCTCGTCACTTGATAAACTTATGGTTGAGTCACTGTAGTCACTCGGACTATTTTAACGATGTCTTTCATAACTTTCTGGGCCGGCAAATATCAATTACAATAGAAGCCTATGGAGGAGAGATCTAGCTCTCAGATTTAATCAAAAATATCTTAATTTGTGTTCCGAAGATGAAGGAAAGTCTTACGGGGATGGAACAACATGAGGGAGAGTAATTACTGACAGAATTTTCATTTTTGGGTTAACTAACCCTTTAAGTTGTTGGAGTTTCATGGTATGATCACCTACATTTACACAGCAGCAACATCTATTTGGTATGTAGGGGTGCAACGGTTCAAATTTCTCACGGTTCGGTTTATATCTAGGTATTAGGGTCACGGTTTCGGTATGATTCGGTATGTGCTGTGTTCAGGGAAAAAAGGACTACTGTCAAATAAAAAATGAAGAAAATAAGAACGAATAATCTAACTACAAGCAACAGCACAAAAAAATACAATAGAGCAAAGATACAAATAAAATAAACAGTGCTTTTCAGTAGGTCTAACATAAGTTTTCAGGTACAGAAATTGTAAAATAACATTGCAGATTTAACTGTATAATTTAAAGATTAATCCTTATTAGAGTTACAAAAGGTATTCAATCTAGAGCAGGGAGTGTTTTCTCTTGATTATACAGAAACAGTCATAGTAAAATAATGCAGAGGAAGCAGGCTACATGCTAGTTCCTGAACACTAACTAACAGTAGAGTCAAATATGGGAAAGTCACACCGTGTGCTGTTTCTGGCTGTGTGAAGCACCTGCATCCTTAGAAACTAGTGGTGGGTCCAAACGGGTACTACAATTCAGCATGGATTTTATGAATATTTATAGTAAGGCTGTTATTGAAGGATGGGGCAGGTTTTGGGACAAAATTGAAAATAAATTAATTTATATTATATTTTGTTCGAAACACTTGCTGTAATAGAAAAAAAAAATTTTTTAGTAATGATTAACTTGTTTTTTGATTGTGTTTTCAGGATGACTTCAGAAATGTCTTAAAGAAGAGAACTGACCACTTTCACAGGCTGCTTTCTGAAGACTAAAACCTGCATCAAGTGTAATTACATGTACAGCATCCTAATAAATGCAGTGAAGTTACCAGGCTACAAACTACCGTAACAAAGGCTACATTTGTAGTATGACTCTGGTATAATGAAATTGTTATTTGATAGAGAATATAGTCTTACAGTTTTACTTTTAATCCCCATTTTGAAAATTAGGACTAGAATTTTGCCTTTAATTTATTGATGAATCTTGAGATCTGTACAGGTTTGTGCCATTGGAAGAGTGTTTTCACACTTTCAAACTGTTAAATTGATTGCAATATGTGTTGTACTCGGAAGTGTTTTTTTTTTTTTAAAGGACACCAATTTTCAATAACCATTAAAAAGAAAAACATTAGTTTTTCACGAAAGACTTTTGGTCTTTAAATTGATCAGTTTTGCTGATTCCACCCCAAATTCTTCTAAGTGATCAGACAGATGATAAAATGGCTGAAAAAAAAACGTTAGTTTGTAATCTGTGGTTTGTTTGTTGATTTTGCTTCAGGTTGCAATTAGAGCTTTATTTGGGGGAAATTTAAGTTTTTCAGAATGATTTCTGACATTATTTCCAACAGTGTTTATTTCCACCATCTCCAGTGGTACAGCTTCAGTCTGGCCGCCACCATTCTCATCCTCCCATATCCTGCAACTGGGGCCCAAAACCATTATAACTCTCAGTGCCAGTATAAATAGTGACCCACCATACAGTGCCATCAGCCTCCACATCTCTGCCGACACATTTGATGGCATGATGGAACTTGACCCCAAAAAGAGAGACCAATATGTGAAATGAAGACCAGGGGTCAAATTTGAAGTTGACGAGTTCTCCACACTTCCAAAGGCATAGAAACTGATCCAGCTTTATAGGAAACAGAAAACCAATACTTATCGCTATATGGATCAGTTGATATTATTTCGACAGGTTCTGATTAACAGTACAGGTTAATCAGGTTAACAGTACAGATCGTTCTAGCCATTTCTAAACATGGTGTTTGGTTCTTCATGCAAATGTGGTTGTTTAAAAACAATATCTCTGATGGGCTGTTCCTTTGGTATGGTCACATATATTCCTAACAACACTTTCAAACACACCATTAGACAAAACATTGGAGATGTCCTTTCCCTGCAATGTTGTGAACAAGTGAAATAAACGAACTATATCTGTCCCAAACAGGGTGCGCATTTTTGATCTTCCATTTCATTTATTTTGTTTAATAAATGGTGAAACTTATTTACTCAAACTTGACCAGAATATATTTTTTAAATGTTTTACATTACCCCTATCATGACTTTGTACTGAGTTTATGAACTGATTTTCTACATTTTATGATGAACAAAAGGCAGAATACCAGGAATGGCCCAAATACAATTAAAAAATGACATATATAGCCTACTTACAGCTTTATAGACGAATAGCAAGCCATTCCTGTTGCATTTTTTAGTGCTATTTAATTTGTTAGTATATTTGGCCCAAAATGTTGACCACTATTATTTTATCATAGACTACATAATTTAAATACATTTGTGTGTATAATTTACATAATAGCATTTAAAAATGTGAATAATATGGTACTATGGCAGTGATAGTACAGTGCAGTAATTAATTTATTTATTTGTTTGGTTTAAAATAAGAGTTCGTTTGACACAGGGCGGAAGTCGGGTTACCACCGGAAGTGGATGTTATGCAAAGATGGCGGCGTTGATGGGTGAGTAAACGAGCTGGGTTCTAGACGATTTTAAGCCCCTTCGTAACGCAGTATTAATATTACTGTATCATATAGATTGAGTGCATTAGGTGTAACTAAATTACAGCGGATCTTCAGTTGGTAAATTAATTATGTCGTGCTATGAAGGACTTACTCGCTGAGTGACCTTGTTACTCAACATGACTTGATCAGAGACTCTACGTTACCAAATACACAGATGACAACACATTATTAGGTGTTCAAGCACGAAGTGCTGAAAACCTATTGTATTCGTTCCGATTTTTATTATTATTATTATTATTATTCTCCTGTAAAACGCATCGTGCAGCCAAAACCGTAAGTGCTGGAGAGTTGAAACTTTGTCAGATGGTAGTACAAAAATCGAGGAGAGGTTATCAAAGTATGAGCCCGATTGGCCTATAGGTGGCGCTACAGCGATCAATTGCGCAAAACTGCTCATAACTCCTAAACCGTATGTCGTAGACTCAAGTGTCTTATATCATTGGAAAGCTGGAGGCCTGAAGTAAAAAACGTATATCTCCGATTTCATTTCCGGTATGCAAATTTTTCCGCCATTTTGAATTTTGTCAAAAAACTACTTTTGTGAACTAGTCCCTGGTTTTTCGCCCGATCAAAACCAAACAAATGCATACATGTTCTCTGGAGTCTGAATATAAATAATTATTGAAAAAAAGTAGAATTTTCGATTCACGGTCGCTAGGGGGCGCAAAATGAACGTTGTGGGAGGAGCCTATTTTACTAAAATGGCTATAACTCGTGAAAGAAATGAGATATCTTCACCAAACTCAACACACATGTGTATAAGGACATTCTGAAGTGACAGTAAAAAAACCACGTCGATCTAACACTAGGTGGCGCTATAACATTAAAAAAAACATAAAAAGGGCTATGACCACCTGACCGTTAGTCCGATTGACTTGAAAATTGGTATGCAGTGTCTTGGTCCAAGGCCCCATGTATGTGTTTGAGGAAATTGGCGTAACTAAAAAAACATGGCCGCCATGGGCCAATGAATTTGAGCACCTATTTGACGAGGTTAACGAAGGCCAATCGGAACGAAACTCGATGGGCATGTTCGACACATGGCCCAAGAGGTCTGTAAGAGTTTTGAAAGAAATCGGCCACTAGTTGGCGCTAACGAGTTTTACGGCTCTGTAATCACGTGGTGTTGCGCACATCCCCATAAAATGCATATCATTCGATAGATCTCCTCATGTTGAACAACTTTGCCTCTAGAACCATTGCTGTCAATCAAATCGTTCATTAAATATTCACGAATATGTTAAAAACCTACTTTTGCGAACTAGTCCCTGGTTTTTCGCCCGATCGGAACCAGACCAGTCTAGGTCAATTCTCTGGACTCTCTAGATCAATAATTATCGAAAAAAAGTTTAACTTTGCCCTTTGGTTTGCTATAACAGGATCATTTAAAAAAAGGGGGCGTGTCAAAATACGCTCAAAAGCCTATAAATCATAAATGAAAACTCAGAACTTGACAAAAATTGATGAGCATATGTGTCATACCATGGTGAAGAAGCATGCAAAGTTTCATGGAGATCGGACAATAGGTGGCGCTATAACTGTTGAAAAGCTTTAAAACCATGCATTTCCTATGGTAAATTGCCTGTATTGGCTGTAAATGGTCTTTTCCATCTATAATCGTAAAATTTTCAAATCTTAATGTTTAAAACCAGTGCAGTACAATTATCTGGACTCTCTAGATCAATAATTATCAGAAAAGGTATAATTTCTTCATTTGAATGGCTATAATAGTGTAACTTGGATGGCTATAACATTTTGGATGGCTATAACAGCCAATAAGTGGTATTTTACTGCCCCCTGCTGTCATTTCATCATACTACTCCCTAATATTGTTTTATAATCAAGTCAAGTCAAGTCAAAGTTTATTTATATAGCACTTTTTAAAAACAACAAGCGTTTAGCAAAGTGCTGTACACAACATACTTATGCAATCAACCCAACATGACCAAAATACAAAAAAATAAAAAACAGTAGAACAATAAAACAATAAAAGAATAAAACAGAACTCTCACACGGCGTCAAATGCCAAGCTGTAATAATAAGTTTTAAGATTCGATTTAAAAATAGTAATGGTTTGAGACTGCCTAATGAACAGGGGCAAACTATTCCACAACTTCGGTCCAGCCACTGAAAATGCTCTTTCACCCCTGGTTTTCAGTTTCACACGCGGGACTACTAAAAGCAAATGGTCAGCGGACCTAAGCGCTCTTGACGGAGCGTACTGCCTAATCAGTTCCGTCATATACCTGGGAGCGAGGCCATGAAGTGATTTAAATACAAACATCAAAATTTTGAATTTAATTCTAAAAGATACTGGTAACCAGTGAAGAGAGGACAAAACAGGTTTAATATGTTCTCGCTTTCGTGTACCTGTCAGCAAGCGAGCTGCAGCATTCTGGACCCTCTGTAGCCTAGAGAGAGAGGCCTGACTAATGCCTATGTAAAGGCCATTACAATAATCTAGACGTGATGAAATGAAAATATGGAGGAGTTTTTGATATTTTTGATATTTGATATAAATAATTCATATTTAGAATTTATAAAATCATTATTTCAACATTTACAATCACATTTTAAAAAAAAATTATCTATTGGAGTATTATGGACTGCATTTATTTATTTTATTTATTACTATTTACAATTGTGTCACAGGAAGGCTGAAAACGAAAGTATAACGTTGGGCCACGCCCCCCAAGTACAAATTCACTCATAACTCGAAAACAGAAAGTCGCTGCACGCTCAAATTTTGATGGTAAGGTTCTCTCGGGGTTCTTGATCCAAATCTATCATCGCGGGGCTCGGGAACGCTAATCCGTGAGACCCCCGACTTCAAACGGCTGTAACTCGCGACCTAGACCACCTAGATCCTTGTGGCAGAGCTTGTTGGAAACGGCCCGTCCTCATCTAGCTTCGATTCGAGTATGGTGCGATTTGGCCTGGGCATTCCCGAGATATAAGCCCACAAAGATATGCATTTCAACGGACATTACTCCACGGCCCCAATCACTCATCAACACTGGGATGGTCTTGTTCAACAGAGCTCCTCTAACACTATCTAAGTTCTGAGTTTCAGATTTTTTCATTATCTCGTTCCCGAGATATAAGTGAAAACCAAATTTCCATTAATTCATTTCAACTGTATATAGTCTGTAATACCACTGTTATCCAATAGATGGAGCAGCAGCATTAGTCAAATGCTGAAGGAGTATTGTTCATTCTTAGTTAATGTTAACTAATGTAGTTAACATTAACTAAGAATGAACAATACTCCTTCAGCATTTGTTAA